CTTGGGTGGTATCTTTGACCACCCACTGACCCAGAAATGGATAAAGGGGTAGAAAATGGATGGATGGATGGAAACGACAATATAACTGAAATGAATTCCACTTGAGGAAGTAGTTCATTTATTAGAGTTTGGAAATAGATAATTTTGGTTTCAGGCTCAAAAGACACATCAGCTGGAGGCAAAGTACTGGAGTTTATAACTGCTTCTCAACCATCAAAACACACTGAGAGAGACCAGAGCGACCAAAGAGAGACCAGAGAGAAATACCAGAGAGACATGAGAAAGACGAGAGGGACCAGTAAGTAAGTAAGTAAGCTTTATTTATAAAGCAGAGAGTGAGATCAGAGAGAAAGACCAGAGAGAGACAGACCAGAGACAGACCAGGGAGAAAGACCAATGAGAGAGACCAGAGGGAGATCAGGGAGAGAGACCAGAGAGAGAGAGACCAGAGAGAAAGTCCAGAGAGATAGACCAGAGAGAAAGACCAGAGACAGACCAGAGCGAGAGACCAGAGGGAGATCAGAGATTCTTTCACTAGTTTCCACATACATGTTTTGCTTTAGATCAGCTTTTTCAAACAAAAAAGTGAAGGAGATAAGACCACCCTCATCCAGCCAATCAGCTTTCATCCCAAAGATTCAAATAGTGAATAGGCCCGGTTTCTATGGAGACGCTGCGACTGTAAAACGTTAGAGTTGGGTATTGGGTTGGCCTCCTGTTTTACATGGAGACTGTGTTTCAGGGGGTGAAAACGCAAGCGTTGAGAACCAGCCTAGTGAGGCTCCATTTATATGGAGGCACTGCGGACACGCTGCAGAGCAATTAGCCAAAACAACCAAGCAGAACGTTTAGATGGCTACTGCCCGGCCAATAGTGGGCAGTGGAACTTAATAACATAGACACGCAGGACCCCCAGCAGTTAACCACTTCCTCAACAACATCCTTCGCCACTGCAAAGACGTGAAAGAATTCAACAACATCATTCTGCATTTAGCAGCAGCTGCGAATATGGAAACTGAAACAAGAGCTTTGCGTGGTTTTAGTAGAATTCTCCTCTGTGTAGCGCTTGAAGCACACATTACATTAGTTTAACCGCCGTCATTGTTGTTTACATTTGTTCTTGGCTTCTGCGCATGTCCAAATGTACGTGAAGTGGTGAGGTCATACCAGGCAGAGAATTCAAACCTTTTTCTTCACGCAGCTGTGATACAGCCCCCCACTGAGCAGCGTATCTGTTCTGTTCCACTCTGGAGGCTTGCATTTTAACCCCCCTGGAACACCGTCTTAATGTAAACGGGAGGCCAAACCAAAAACCAACTTAACGTCTGTCGAAGCATCTACGTATAAACCAAGGCCCGGTTCAAATGAATGGCTTGTGCTCAGTAGCTCATTGGACATACAGGAGGACCGAAAGATTAGCAGAGCTCGCCCATATTTAGGCATTGTCTAGTCCAGTGTCTCCCAAAGTGGGGTCCGCGGCCCCCTGGTGGGCCGCGAGGGTACTGCAGGGGGGCCGCGGGAGGTCATAAAAAAAATAAAAATAAAATATAATTATTTCATGTTAAATTTATAATGTTTTGTTTGTGCTATTAAAATATTTGTGTTCATTATTTGACTTGAATAATCCACTGTAATCATTTTTGTATTACAGTAGCAGAGGCTATTTCCCCAAAATAAAATAACCAGAAGAGCCTATTCTTAATGTTGTCTTCTTGGTTATTATTTTGGGGGGCCACGCAGACCCGTCAGATTTTTAAGGGGGCCTCGGTGTTACTGAGTTTGGGAATGGCTGGTCTAGTCCTCCCAGTTCTGCGCAGTGGACGAGCTCCCATGATACGTTGCGCCAAATACTCGTGTGTGGCTCTCAAGCACGTGCACAGAGGGGCTCGGCTGCGCTCTTACCAATCAGAGCTGCTGATCAGAGCAGCGGTAGAGCGGAGCCAGAGCGGGAAGGAAACGAACAGAGATTGTAGCAGTAAAGTCTGGATTTGAAGAAAACCGAAGGATTTAAGAAGAAAAAAAGTTCAGGATGATAAGGGACACGAAAATCCGACCTTTATCTCCGCCGTTCAAACAAATGGGCCAAAAAATATGCTCTACTGGAGCTATCCAAAATGGCCGCGAGTGGTCCCGCCCAGAAGAAAATTGTGAAAAAACGCATCTGTACATGCGTCAGCCGGCGAGAGCTCCATTAATTTAAACGAGTGACTTCAAAAATTCTCAGCGAGTAAACTAGAGAGGTCCAAAAAAATTCAACCCCCTCAGCATTGACACACATGTGGAACGGAGCTTTCGGCCAAGAGCCAACTTTTGGTCCATCCTGTAAAGACGTTTTCGAGGTGTCTGCCAATGCTATATGTTAGCATTGGCAGACCTTATTCCGGGTCCACCCCCATCGGCCCGGGGTGGTATTGCAAGCATGTCAGCGCACATCATTTTGGCCTCTTTTGAGCGGGGACCCGCCCCCACTGATTAAAACCTTATTTTTGTCATTAAAACGTTAACAAATCATTTTGAACACCTCTGTGCATGTGTATTAATAATGTATATGTATAATGTATTCTCTGATTAACATTTAAATGTGTTACGGAAACGTAGGTGTAGACCAATCAGAAAGGAAGGGGGAGGAATCTTGCGTCGTTATTTTTCAAATCAAGTACCTCTCTCTCTCTCTTTCTGACAAACTGCAGACAATCACTTAAATTTTTTTTCTGCTGAAAAAAAATGAACTGGTGGAGGTCATAGAAAGTAGAGAATTCAAAACTTTTTCTTCACACATCGGTGAAACAGCCCCCGCCCCGCAGCGTATGTGTTCTGTTAAACTCTGGGGGCTGTTTCTCCATGCTTGTGTTTTCACCTCACCCTCCTGATAAACAGTCTTCACGTAAACGGAAGCAAACTGTTTTGAGAGTTTGGCTATTGTTTCGTATCTTTAAAGGCATAAAAGTGGATTGACAAAAAGGGGTTTGTAATTTTCTGGTGGTTAGCATTTGTTTGCATTTTCATCTTAAGCGTCTTTGTCGTAAACCTAATATATACAAAGAACTACATGATATCTGCTGTTGTTGTGTCCTTGGCAAGACACTTAACCTCTGGGAACACCAGCCACAGTGGGGCGGCTGCAGCTGTAAAGTGCCAAACTGCCGTTGTGTCCTTAGGCAAGACACTTCACCCCCATTGCCTAGAATGAGTCTGGTGTGTGTATGAATGGTTGGTGGTGGTCAGAGGGGCCGATGGCACATACTGGTTGCCTCGCTTCTGTCAATGTGCCCCAGGGCAGCTGTGGCTACAGTAGTAGTTTATCACCACCGTGTATGGAGTGTATGAATAATGATACATGTGAAGTATCTTTGGGTGTCCAGAAAAGCGCTATATAAAACCGATGCATTATTATTATTATTATTATTACATGTACCTCGCACCAGCGGCCGTCACGGTCAAAACTAAATTCTAATTATTTAAGAAAGTAAAAGGAAAATGTGATCTTTCCCAGCAGAGGGCGCCAAAAAGTTCCAAAAAGTATAGTGATAAAAAAAGGATTGTAGTAAGTTAAAAGTGTTGGTTTCATACAGTACAAGTACAACATCACATGAAACATATTTTTGATCAGTATTTATTTTTTGTCACAATTTGCATTTGTGTCACGCCCTAAATCTCAACAGCAGTCGTCTCACAAGACTTTACAGTTTGAACATAAGAAATGCAATACCAAAAAACACAAAGACGCAGGGAGCGGGAGTCACAAGGATTATTGTTAAACAAACTGCATCACAAGATGAGAGTGTAGCGAGGAAGAGAAGGGAAACCTCAGCAGGTGAAGAACACAGCATTATCTAGACTCCGAGCCCTCAGATCAACAACATCCTGGATCCTGGAAAAGAGCTCTGTCAGGCTTCATCATCATCAACTCCTCTTTTGACTTCTTTAGCCTTCGGCCCTCAGGCTGCCATTACTCGAGTCCTAGAGAAGTCCTACAGGATCAGGACCAGAACCAGTGAAAAGACCAGGACAAGACCAGGATCAAGACCAGGGCAACTCCTGGTCTTATTGCCATAGACCAGTGTCTCCCAAAGTGGGGTCCGCGGCCCCCTGGTGGGCCCGCCGTGGGTACTGCAGGGGGGCCGCGGGAGGTCATAAAAAAAAAATATATATATAATATAATTATTTAATGTTACATTTATATATGTTTTGTTTGTAATATTAAAATATGTGTGTTCATTATTTGACTTGAATAAGCCACTGTAATCATTTTTGTATTACAATGTTTGTAGCAGAGGCTATTTCCCCAAAATAAAATAACCAGAAGAGCCTATTCTTAATGTTGTCTTCTTGGTTATTATTTTGGGGGGCCACGCAGACCCGTCAGATTTTTAAGGGGGCCTCGGTGTTACTGAGTTTGGGAATGGCTGCCATAGACTAATGTACATGTTAGCAATAGCCTGGTCCAGTCTCATATGCATCATTGCAGCTCTCTATTGTAAAAATTCTGAGACTTGCACTACTACACTTCTGGGTAAACTGACATTTCTCAACTGTGGGACGAATACGGGAATATCCTCTTATATCTTATCTTATCCTCACCTGCATTTTGTCACATTGTTGCAACTTGTTTCTTTGATGCTAGTTAGATTTTATTTTGATTAGTATAGTTATTGCTCATTTATCTTGTGCTGTGTGCTCTTAATTCCTACTAGGACGAGTAAATCTCAAAGTTGAATTTAATTTTTACAACATGAAGACATGATGGAGACAACAGCTATTTGAAGAAAAAACATCTTTATTTTTACATGTATTATTATGAGGTTATAACAAAGAAATATTACCCATTAAAATTATGCTGATTATATATAATATAACACACACACGCGCACACATACTTTCTGACCCTGATCAGAAGTCTCCATTCCCCCGTTTTCAAAATTGTGTTTCCCTTTAAAATCTATTACAGCTTAGAGTCTTTTGTCTTGTGTTCTCTCTCTCTGACCTTTCTTTCTGGTCTCTCACTGCCTCCACTCCAGTCCCAGAGTCTCTGCGACGAAAGCGTATATATGTGTGTCCTCCAGAATAGCTTTAGCAGTGGGTTTCCCGGCTCCGTGACCACTCTGCGTGTCCACTCTCAGCAGCAGCGGCTGAGTTTGCTGAGGTGCAGTACCCACCACGGCCTGCAGGGCGGCGCAGTACTTCAGTGTATGCAGAGGAACCACGCGGTCGTCATGGTCCGCCGTCAGGAGGAGCACCGCGGGGAACGGAGGCCCAGTATAGGGGGCCGAGGGGAGGGTGTGGAGGGGGGAGTATCTGAGGGAGGGAGGGAGGGAAAGGTGAGTATCTGAGAGGGAGGGTGTTGAGGGGGAGTATCTGAGGGAGGGAGGGAGGGAGAGAGGGAATAAAGGGATATACAGAGAAAATATGCAAGCTAAAGTACTTATAAATTGAGGCCTGAATATCTTACCCCAAGGATAAATATTGAGGAAAGCCTCTCCATTGGTCTATTTACGTTCTATAAACTAAAGTGAAATTGTCTTCTACTGATTGCTTCTTTTATTTTAGGCAACTTGATTTTTTCAACAGTAAAACTTTATTTAACTGATGACGTACTCTATGTCACAGGTTTAAATCATTTAAAAACGTTAACAACTTGAATTTCTTCGTTGCACTGTATATGAAATAAACATAGCTCTGGTCTCTCGCTCTGTTCTCTCTCTCCCTGGTCTCTCTCCCTGGTCTCTCTCCCTGGTCTCTCCCTGGTCTCTCCCTGGTCTCTCCCTGGTCTCTCCCTGGTCTCTCCCTGGTCTCTCCCTGGTCTCTCCCTGGTCTCTCCCTGGTCTCTCCCTGGTCTCTCCCTGGTCTCTCCCTGGTCTCTCCATGTGGATTCAGGTCTCTAGTCCATGTGGAGGCAGGTTGAGACAACAGGTGCCTCCACATAACATCACACATCCATGGTCTCTATAGTCTATGTTCTCATCCTCCTGAAACCTATAATGTGAGGTTGATGGTTCAGTTGGGTTGATGGTTCAGTACCTGAGGAGCCACTGCAGCTGCTGTGGATCGTCAGAGCAGCCGTAGTCCGTAGTCCAGGCGTGACCGATGGTGAAACGATGAAACTTCAACATGTCCATTACCCCCACCTCCGCCACAGCACAACCAAACAGGTCCGGACGCTGGTTTATACAGGCCCCTAACCACAGAGACCAGAGAGGGACCAAAGAAAGACCAGAGAGAGAACAGAGGGAGACCAAAAAGAGGCCAGAGAGAGACCAGAAGGACAGATGGAGTTACAGTATAGTACTCTGTATTCTCATTTCCAAGTCTCTAGTGTCCGAGTCTAATGTCCGAGTCTCTGATGTCAGTCTCTGATGTCCGAGTCTCTGATGTCCGAGTCTCTGATGTCAAAGTCTGATGTCAGAGTCTAGTGTCCGAGTCTAGTGTCCGAGTCTAGTGTCCGAGTCTGATGTCCGAGTCTGATGTCCGAGTCTCTGATGTCCGAGTCTCTCACCCACGAGCAGTCCTCCGTTGGATGCTCCGTTGATGGTAATTTTTCTGGCGTTGGTGAAATTCTCTTGGATCAGAAACTCTGCAGCACACTGGAAATCATCAAAACAGTTCTGCTTGTTTCCCAGCGTCCCAGCTGCGAGGGGGAAAGGGGAAGACAGGACGAGGGAGGCGGAGTACAGGGGGAGGGAATGGGAGAGAGGGAGACAATGGGAGAGGCAAGGTTATTCATATAACACAGTTCATACACAAAGTCAAACTGAACATAAATAATGAACTTGAGAAATAAACCCTCTATTGCTTGCTTGCAATCACGTAACGCATAAACTTCCGGTTAACGAAGTGGAGGTCAGGCCAGCAAGAGTTGCTGCTGATATATGAAGAAAATGCGACTCTTCTGTGTGGAGACCAGAAAGAGACCAGGGAGAGTGTATAAAACCCCCTGTGGTCAGTTTCACTTGAACTGCTCCACGGCCCCCCTGCTAATGGGACATTCCATTCTACCTGGGCATGTCTTAACTTGTTCAGTTCAGTGTTGCCGATGTTGTTGCTTAGAGCATGTGCCGTGCTTGTGTGCGTCAATTACGAGTAAGTAATACTGCAATTGGAATGTTAGAAGCTATATTTCTCATACCTGGTATTGTATATATGTGTATTGCCCATATAAATGTTAAGTTCTGTTAGTAGTTTCAGCCACGAGGCACCTTACTGACACGTGGTCAGCTTAGTAAGACATTTCAAAGTGTTACATGTGTTAAATATTAGTTACATATTATTTGTGTGCCTTAAAATGCATATCGTGATGTTCACTTTGCACATTTGACGTCCTATCGAGCCATGATGGTTCGGGGGACTCCTGAGGCAGCTGTCCAGTACCGGCAGGCCAAGCGTGCCGCGGCCCGGGCTGTTGCAGAGGCAAAAACCCGGGACTGGGAGGAGTTCGGAGAGTCCATGGAGCATGACTATCGGTCGGCCTCGAAGAGATTCTGGCAAACCATCCGGCGCCTCAGGAGGGGGAAGCAGTTCTTTGCCAACACCATGTACGGTGCGGGTGGAGAGCTGCTGACCTCGACTGGGGATATTGTCGGGCGGTGGAAGGAATACTTTGAGGTTCTCCTCAATCCCCCCGTCACGTCCTCTGTTACAGAGGCAGAGGCTGAGGATGTTGGGGCGGGTACATCCATCTCCCTGGCTGAGGTCACCAAGGTGGTTGGTAGCCTCCATGGTGGCAAGGCTCCGGGTGTGGATGAGATCCGCCCTGATTATCTAAAGTCTCTGGATGTTGTAGGACTGTCTTGGCTAACACGTCTCTGCAACATCGCGTGGCGATCGGGGGCAGTGCCAATGGAGTGGCAGACCGGGGTGGTGGTCCCTCTCTACAAGAAGGGGGACCGGAGGGTGTGTTCCAATTATCGTGGGATCACACTCCTCAGCCTCCCCGGTAAGGTCTACTCCAAGGTACTGGAGAGGAGGTTACGGCCGATGGTCGAATCTCGGATCCAGGAGGAGCAGTGTGGTTTTCGTCCCGGTCGCGGAACACTGGACCAGCTCTATACTCTCCATCGGATACTCGAGGGTTCATGGGAGTTCGCCCAACCTGTCCACATGTGCTTTGTGGATTTGGAGAAGGCGTTCGACTGTGTTCCCCGGGGTGTCCTTTGGGGGGTTCTCCGGGAGTACGGGGTCGGAGGTCCTCTGCTGAGGGCCATCCGATCCCTGTATGACCGGAGCCAGAGCTGTGTTCGCATTGCCGGCAGTAAGTCAGACCTGTTCCCGGTGAATGTTGGCCTCCGACAGGGCTGCCCTTTGTCATCGGTTCTGTTCACTGTATTTATGGACAGAATATCTAGGCGCAGCCAGGGGTCGGAGGGGGTCCGGTTCGGAGACCACAGGATTTAATCTCTGCTGTTTGCGGACGATGTTGTCCTGTTGGCTCCAACGAACCAGGACCTGCAGCATGCACTGGGACGGTTTGCAGCCGAGTGTGAAGCGGCTGGGATGAGAATCAGCACCTCCAAATCCGAGGCCATGGTGCTCGACCGGAAAAAGGTGCCTTGCCCTCTGCAGGTGGGTGGAGAGGTCCTTCCTCAAGTGGAGGAGTTCAAGTATCTCGGGGTCTTGTTCACGAGTGAGGGAAGAATGGAGCGTGAGATTGACAGGCGGATCGGTGCAGCGTGCGCAGTTATGCGGTCGCTGTATCGGACCGTTGTGGTGAAGAGGGAGCTGAGCCGAAAGGCAAAGCTCTCGATTTACCGGTCAATCTTCGTTCCCTCCCTCACCTATGGTCATGAGCTTTGGGTAATGACCGAAAGAACGAGATCGCGGATACAAGCGGTCGAAATGAGCTTCCTCCGCAGAGTGGCTGGGCGCTCCCTTAGAGATAGGGTGAGGAGCTCAGTCACACGGGAGGAGCTCGGAGTAGAACCGCTGCTTCTCCACGTCGAGAGGAACCAGTTGAGGTGGCTCGGGCATCTGTTCCGGATGCTTCCTGGACGCCTCCCTGGGGAGGTGTTCCGGGCACGCCCCACCGGGAGGAGGCCCCGCGGAAGACCCAGGACACGCTGGAGGGACTATGTCTCTCAGCTGGCCTGGGAACGCCTTGGGGTCCCCCCGGACGAGCTGGAGGAAGTGTGTGTGGATAGGGAAGTCTGGGCGTCTCTGCTTAGACTGCTGCCCCCGCGACCCGGCAACGGATAAAGCGGAAGAAAATGGATGGATGGATGGATGGCGTTGAGTAAAGTTTTCCCTTTGTGCAATTACCTTGCCGTGCGCTAGAGGCGTTGTTTGGCACAGCCATAGTCCTGCCCCTACTCATTAACATTCATATCACCTCCATTATAGACTTGTAGCTCTAAGCGTGCAGTACATTTTTAAGACCACCAGGTTGCGCCATTATCCCCAGATCATATCGTTCCTTCTGTATAATGACCACCCTGTAACTTGTTTGTATTTACTGTATGCCTGGGCCTAATTGTTTGTTCTGTTGTTTTACAGAAAACCACACACACACACACACACACACACACACCACCCATGTACAATAAAGTGTTCAGTTTGAAATAAACTCTGAAACATAAAGGCTTGGACATTCCCTTCATCACCAGTCTCCAAAATTCCTTCTGACAGAGGAGAGGACGAGCTGCCAACCACCAGTATTTTAAGCACGCACATGTCCTAAATAAGTGGTCCTTCGAGCCGGATGGTTGGCAGTTTTCCCTAATGGAGACATCAAGGCAAGATGATGGAGAGCAAGCTGTTCGTCCCCGGAGGCTCCATCGCCTCCCAGGACATCTGGATGACTTTGTTCTCACCGATCCTTTCCATCAGCCTGATCCAGATATGAGCACTTTGAGGTGTAACATCGAACATCGACTCCAATACAACAAGTAGCTGGAGCTGAGAGGTTTCCAGACATGGAGAGGATGATGAGGATGGAGCGGTGTGTCTCACAAGTTCAAGACCAGATGAGGGAGCTACAGAATACCCTCCAAGCATCTCTGAATCTTCACCGGTCACCAGTACGACTTACACTGTCCGGGGAGGCACGCTGTCCCAGTGTTCCCACAGACCAGCAAATGGGCAGCCTGGAGACCATCCTCCCTCTCATCCAAGTACTGTCCAATCCCGAGCAGCCCACTGTGCAGAGAGCCACATCCCCCGCAGTCCTGCCGGTTCCTACGCTCCCCACTTCTCTTTCCACAGAACCTGCTGTTCGTGACGTGGGGGACTCTACACAGCCTGTTTATGTCCTCTCTTCAGCTCGAAGCGCAGCTCGACCAGCACCAGTGGTATCCAGGCCTGCAGCATCAGACCATCCACATCCGCCCTGGCCGCAGCAGCAGCAAAGAGAAGTGAATTGGACGACATCTTATCCCACTTGGTCTACACAGCCCAACGAGGGACCATACAGTTACCTGGGAGCAATGCAGACTCAGCCCTCAGCATTTGCTCCATATGTTGTGCCTGTTTCTTCAGTCTCATTACCCTGGGCTCAAGGCCCTACTGTGAGTCATCCCCCCTATGCACAGGTGCTCCCCCCCCTCTGAGCACACACTATATGCACAGGGACTCAGCATTCCTCCCTCAGCCTCCTGTCAGTTTACAGCCTAGTGCTCCTCAGGACAGGTCACATTACACTCCCCCTATGTTGGCAGCCCAGAGGCCTAACCTGATGGAGATGGCTATATCCTCCTCTTATGGCATCCCTAAGCCAAGATTAGTAAGTTTTAGCACAGGTAAAGAGAGCGACTTTCTATTATTGAAGAAGGGATTAGATGGTGTAATGGGCCCACATCTACATCTTTCTGAGGATTATAAATTCCAGGTACTTCTGGATCACCTCAAATTCCCAGCTGCATTTCAGATAGCAAAGAGATATGTGCATGACCCCATGCCATATACCAAAGCAATGCAGGCCCTGCAGCAACGCTATGGACAGCCACGTCAGTTAGTCCAAAGTGAGTTAAATGGCATTTTGAGAGCCCCCACAGTGAGAGCAGGAGATGCACAGGGTTTTGAGGACTTTGCTCTATGACCGTTAGTAGTCTAGTGGGACTATTGACCTCCTTAGATGAAGCTGCTAAGAGTGAGCTAGAGTGTGGATCTCATGTAGACAGGCTGCTGAGTAAACTCCCCCATTCCTATCAGGACAGTTTTGCAGAATATTGTCTGTCACGGGGAATTTTACAGACTGACTCAGCTAATACATACACACTACCTGACTTTGCCAAATGGCTAGAGAGGAAATCACAAGCCATTAAGATCTCCAGAAGAGCTACTGAGAGCTATACGACAGATAAACCTCGCTCAGACCGCAAAGACAAACCTAGCCAGTTCAAGCAGCCAAAGTCTTCCTCATCCATTTACTATGGCACAGAGAAAGCACCCACTCCTGCTGCCATTAACGCAGAGAGCAAGGACACAGCTAGGGGTAAGAAACGAGAAAAGTTCAAGCCATATTGCCCATTTTGTAGTAGTACAAAACATTATTTGAGTTCCTGCCCAGATTTTATCAAGCTAAGTACTACACAGGTTGTCAGCTGGATAAATGAAAATAAGAGATGCTGGCGATGTGGTAGAGGACATCAGCCTGACAGTTGCACTCTTAAAAAGCCTTGTGCCACATGTGGAGAGCAG